AGAGAGAAGGGTACCCTTTGTATTATTGCAAGGTTGTTGTTCCATTTATGGTAGCCTGAGTAATTGAATGTTATGGAAACCTCAAATGTCGTGACAGAGGATATTTTTGACTCTTATTTTGTGAATTTATGTGGGGATGCCAGTAGTTCGGATAATTTTAGGAAATTTTTGGATGCTGTTAAGGAATTTTGTTTGACTGAAGACATGTTAATTCGTAAATAAGGTAAGTGGATATTTCCTTTGTGTAGTGACAAGATGAATTTCCTTTTTTATGTTATTTCATTGTTTGATTTAAAATGTAGTTTTTATTGAGTTTATCGATTTTTTTTTTTTTTTTTTTTTTTTTTTTTTTTTTTGTTGGCTGCTCCTTTGACTTTTTAAATGAATATAGTTTGATGTGTACATGAACAAAGTCAAGGGAGTGTAGTGTGCAAAGCCTAGTTTGTGCAATTCTCTGATGTTTTTTTAAGTGAAAATAGGTTGATGTGTGCATGGATAAAGTCAAGGGAGTGCGCAATGCCATTTTTGTGCAATTCTGGGAATTTTTTTTTAAGTGAAAATAGGTTGATGTGTATATGAATGCTGAGTTTGTGCAGTTCTTTGTCTTCTTTGCGTAGCAGCAATTTTTGGTGCAAAAATCACTGCTACACAAGCCAAAATAACAAGTCGAAGAATTGCACAAATTCGGTATCCATGTACCACAAAAAATTGCCAAGTTTCGCCAAGGGGTACCCGCAAATATACTTTTACCAGCTATTGTCTGGCAAATCTTATTCCAAGGCATCTACCACTACTAGAGGGAAAAGAGAAGCTAGATCCATTTTAGCTGTCGTTATAAAAAATACTGAGGAATTTTTTTTCTGATTAGGAACAAGAAATGGCCAAATAAAACAACTGTACTCTAGATATCAGTTCAATATAAGATGCAGCTGATCCTTCTCTGTTCAGTATATGTGAGCGAGAATTAATTTCCATTGAAGAAGTTCCGAATATTGACATGTTTAAAAAATAATGTGCTATGCAATTCAACGTATCATCACAGCAATCCTTGCTGTAATAAATAGTGAAAAATAAAATAAAGGTATTTCATAAATTTAAAATTAATATTCTCTTCATTTTTGTTTGAAAAAGTTTGCACAGTGTTTTTCTGAAGCAACAGTTTTTCTTCCCACTATGTTGATAATATTTAAATATAATTATTTCTGCAACATATTCTTTTTTCTCCCCTTTAGCTAATGTTAGCAGTATGAGCAATATTAAATTATATCATCTGCTTTTCCTTATTAATTATCAATTAATCACCTGCAATATGGTTAAAATATATTTTTCGAGAAATTTTAGCTATTCATGATCAATTATTATATAAAATAACTTTGAAATTGTTTATTTTTCACTTTAATGGTCTGTCATTAGTTATTTCATAGAATAATTAGGTAAAGTATGAAATTTTTCATCTGTTATATACTTAAACTGGCATGCCGCTTAGTGCAACTCACCTTGGAGACGGTGTGTTGTTGCTGTAGTACGATCTCGCAAGATGGGGTATTTCACGTCGTTAAGCCTAACTTTAAAAAAATTCATTAAAAAATTTTTTTAACCACTTGTTTTGATTTTTTCTGTAATGGTATTTAACAGTAACATAATCATAAATACAGAATATCAAGAGATTCTGAAAAAATTGTAATTAAAATCTAAATACAAAATAAAATATTTAACGTATTTTGATGAAATGTAAGAAACTTACTTAAATCTATATCTGAATATATGTAAAAAGTAATAGAATATATGATTAAATATTATAGTATAAATGATTCAGAAAGAAGATGGCGTGTGATAATCTAGTCGCTATCATTTCATTAGTTACGAAACACTTTTTTATGTTGAACTTTTTAATTATTGCCAGCAGAATAATTAATCCTATGAATCACCTCATTTTAGGCACATCTATAGGAGTATGTTGATTTTGGATAAAGATGAATTTTCACTCATTTTTCGTTCATAGAAATTATTAGTTTCTGCTGGATTGTGAGGTGAAGGCAAACCAAACTTCCATTCAGTGTTTGACAAAATTTTGGTGTCAGAATGGCTTTTCTCACTTAAGTCTAGAGTCTTCAGTGTCAAAATAGTCACTCATGGGCTCAAATGGACACTCATGGGCTGGCTTTACTATTCGTATATGCTCTTCTTTCTCTTAGGCATGGCACTATTAGTTTAACTCTCTTAATCCTTTGAGGGGCATTATATAAAATAATTTAAATTGTGGTAAAATTTTGCATGAAGTATAACTTATGGACCCTAAGGACAGAAAATTGAGACTTTAAAAAAAATCTAGAGTGAAATCCTAAATTTTGAGAGCCCCTCTAAGACATTTTTTTTTCCAGATAGCTGCCAATTGTTAATTTTTGTTTTTTAAATTAATTTTGCGTACTTTTGATGTGCATCTGTAGAGATGGGTGCTTGAGTATAGTTATGCAAGTCTGAAGACAAAAACTTTTAAAATTTTGGTAGAAATTTAAAATTAAAAAAATAAAATTTATGTTAATTTATGTTTTTATGCACTTTGATGATGCAACTTGGCCGAACATACTTATGTAAAATATGGGTAAAAAGCTTTTGAACTTTATTTAAATTCGATATTATTTTATAAAAAAATTAGTAAATATGACACTGCATGTGTAAATCGTATCATGTTGCAACTGAACTAGTATAATATTACAAGGAGATATAACAGCCGAAAAATTTAAAAAAAAAAAAAAAAAAAAAATTAAAAAATTAAGCACTAGGACTCGCATGAGAAAGTATGTTGCATTTTTGAACTCATATTTTATGCTTTAGGTAATGTGTAAAAAATCCATGGTTCATGCTATAATACCAAGAATCGCCCCCCCCAATGCACACACACTTTAGATTATCAAGGACCGTAAGGACCCTTTTTTTTTATTTTTTATAATTATAGGTTGTAATACATCTTTTTGTTCAGGAAGAGACACCGTTAAACAACTTTATTATTTTATACACCTCAAAGCTCTTATTTCGATTTTCAACCCCTTTGGCCTCCTAGGGACTCCTTTTCAACTTTTGGATAAATTCTAGTTTGCATCTAAAACGAGCCATAGAAATATTTTCCCTCATTTCACCAACTGTGAAATTTATTTCAAAGAAACCTATTTCTAACCTAACCCTAAATTTCTCTTGCGCTCCCTAGTCTTTCATCTGAAATTAACAAAGACGATAAGAATAAAATCATGCTCAAATCAGCAGTTTTTGTGATTACACTAAGAGATGGACCTTAAGTGTGCTTCAATTTCCCGTATTTTTAAGTGAGCTTTCTCTTTGTGTGATCTTACACACAAACAAAGGGAAGAAGGCATGACTCCCGAATGACAAATCAGTTGTCAATCACCTACCTCCTTTCATTTTCGTTGGATTCTAGGATTTTGGAAAACAGGAAGCAACGGGTGTCTTTTAGGGGCTTACATGCCACATATAATTCCTACAGTTGTGTAAAATTTTGTCCCCAGATGGCAATTTTGAAATCGATGAGTTTTTCTCTTGGGAAAGGGTGAAGTGCTGAAGTTAAAAATTTAGATAAATAGAGATGAATGAAACTCGCGCAGAGTAAAAAAAGAATAAAAAGAAACAAATATACTTGTATTCAGGTCTAGTACTGAATCCTAAACAGCTTGTAAGTTAATCATAAACAAATAATTACATCATAAACTATTATAATGTAAAGAAATGCTGTCATCTCGCACAGTAGAGAAGAAGAAGCCTGGTGCTGCCATCTATTGGCAAGGTACGCTCAGTAGGGGCGCCGGTATATACTATACACCGGTATTAAAAACGTATACATAATCTTCTTTTAATTATCAATTTTGATTGAAATGCAGTAAATATAAATGGTTCAGCATGTGTATGTCATATATTTACAGATTTTGAATTCTTTCTTTCCCTCTAATAGAATTTATCAATCTTCAAACACGATACCTTGGAACGAGGTATATTAATTTCATAATTGCAAAATATTGAACATTCGTAGAGTGGTGCTGCCATTTAGAATCAAAAGGAAACACTAGAAACTTATGATTATAGCTTTTGGTGCAGAGGAATTAGCATTTTTTCCGAGGTTAAAAAATTGACAAACAACGGGTGTATATTATATACCGGTGCCCTTCAAAGGGTTAACCAGTCCAAAAGCCTTACGTTTGCTATCTAAGAAAGATGCAAGCTGAAAGCAAACCGGAGTTCCTAAAACTGCAGCTCCACTTCCAATCTCCCCATAGAAGGAAAAAACAAAAATATGAAGCATCGAAAACTCTTCAGTGTTTATGTTACAAGAAGCCTGAACTGAGAGTATCAGCTGAATTTCATTTACATTGTAACATCTGCTCGTACATCTAAATGAATCTTAAGAATCAGAAAATACTCTGTGGACACCAGGCCAACAATGTATATATTCAAATAAGCTAATTGTAGTGGACGTCTAGTGATTAAAAAAAATTCTAAAAGAACATGTATATTTGAAAGTGCATATATGATAATCCCATCTGGAAGATCAATGCAAGCGGCGATGCACAAGTGCATCACCCGGTTGCTAGTGAAATTTTGGGACTGATGCATATATGACACAGAGGGTTTCTGTCTGCAGAGGGTTTTCAATTCAGCAATATGCCGTCATGAAGGGGTTGAACATTTTACAGTCGTAGTGCAATGCATGGGTTTTGAATCAATTATTCTGGTTTAAGATTACAAAAGATTAAGAATTTGATTATGCTTCAAACAGCATTTTCACATGCTGTATTTTTTTGACACGTGCTTGCATAGAATTTCTGAAGGTTATTTGGAGAGAGAAAATATCCCAGGCAAATGAATCAATAATTGGAACTTCATTGTTAAAATGGCCAAACTAATAAACATACTGCTTGATCATCAGATTTATTCAATTTTTGTTTTTGTTTTTAATAATAAAAATGTATAGTAATTTTATTTATTTATTTAAGCTCAAAGGAAGAGAGATGTTGAGCAAATTAGAGAGCAACATCCAAATAAGATACCTGTAAGTAATATATGTTATCATTTATTATTTATAAGGATTTCATTGATTTATTACAATCCACACATTTAAACTCTATAAATTTTATACTGTAATTATTTATTGATGATATTATTTTGCTAATGTAATACTGTGCTACTTTGTGTAAAATTTTACTTTATAAGCATTTTGCAGCATTGAATATGGCAAGATACACATAAACTAAGATCTCAAGCAGTGTTTTCAGTGATGACGAAAAGTCTTTGAATGAACAGGCTTTGAATTATGTACAGACTATCTCTAAGGCATTTTAAAAAGAAGCATGTTGCCTTATTAGAGTGCAGTTTTCATCTAAAAACTTTACCATGAAAATATATTTACTTAAATCTGTTAAGAAGATGTGTAATTAAATGATAAGCAGTTACATTATTAGTAGCATTGTAATGTGCTCACAGATGCAGTATAATCTCAAATTTTCTCATTTCATTTATTCTTACACCTTATAAGGTATTTCTCCCATCTTCTTAGCATGCATTAGTGGTGTAGTTTTCAGCACACTCAGCGCGTATTTGAGTGGTCCATGGTTTGAGTCCAAGCGAGGGCATTGCTCATTTTTCATGATTTCTGCTTCAAAATAATCTGCCTCTACAGTGATGCCCGAACTAAAAAAAGATGGCAGATAATGATTCTCCACCACCAGGATTTGGCGATTCGGTACCCTAATCCCCAATCACCCTTTAAAAGGAGGAGCATATAAGGTATTTCTCCTACCTTCTTAGCATGCCTTCGTGGTGTGGTGGTCAGCACACTCGGCACACATTCGAGAGGTCCTCGGTTTGAGTCCCGGTGAGGGCATTGCTCATTTTTCATCTCTCTTGCTTAAAAAAAAATCTGTCTCTACAAGCTACCCACCAAAAATCTGCTTCTTGTTGAAAGTGTGTAGGTGCAAATCGCACTTTGAGATACCAGTTTGTTTTTATGCACGTTTTTAAGTGTCCAGATTTATTTATTAGGCACTTCATATGTGCAGTGTGTATGCAAGATAAAAATTTAATTTTAAACCCCTTTATCTTTATTACAGTCAAAAGTCATTAATTCCGACACCCATAATCCGGACCTCAAAGCTTACAACGCGCATGCGTCAAAGCGACGCATGCGCATAAGACCTTTACAGCTGCGAATAGGTGTGTGGGCGTGCGCAAAACACGTTTACGCATGCGCGTTTAAAGTATAACGGACGGTATAAGCTAAGCTAAAAATTATCTAATTCAGTTAATGTTGCAGATTGCGTTGTTCCTTAATCTTCGAATTGGATCCGGCTTATTATTTTTTGCAGACTGTTAGAGCAATTTTATAAAAGTAAGCTTGAACTTTCGATTATGTCAAATAGAATTTCCGATATATATTTACTAATATGTAAAGGATCTACCAAAGCGAAAGTATGTTTCGAAGTCCATTAAACAAAAGTGGAATTGTTGCAAAAAATGACCTAACCATTCCAAAATCTGTTTATCAATTTCACCCTGCTCTGCGGCGGGGTATGGGGGGGGACGGCACGCAATGAATTGGAAGTTGATCTGTCAGTGCTATCCGTATCTTCAGGGCAGATGTTTTGAACGCAGCGGCGCACAATAAATTGGAAGTTGATCTGTCAGCACTATCCTTTATCTTCAGGGCAGATGTTTTCATTTTATTTGGCTTATATTTCCTTACTAAATGTAGTATTTCATCTCGATGTATTCCGTCTTTGATATGATTTAAATCAAATTCCTCGTCATTATGATTTGCTTCCGATAGGGAAGAAAGTGACACAGAAGTTATTGAAAACGAAAAAATTTCGATTTGACAAATTAGTCGGTATTCTCGACACAGCAATTATAGGACTTGAACAGCAGAACTTTGTAACTGAACAAGAAATTATGTCTGTTTATAGAATTAAAGAGAATGTATTATCACATAAAAAATGAAGCAACTTACAACTTACATTGAAAGAAATGTTTAATAAAGTAAACAAATTAATATTAAGCTTTTTTCTTGTAAATTTTGATACCCTTTAGATTATAATTGTTCTTTATTTCATAAATTACGTTTTCATATTTTTAATTTTATAATTTCTGCATGCCATCTTACCAGATTTAAACTGATGATCTATAATCCGGAAAAATCGATAATCCGGAATCGCCGAAGTCCCGACAAGTCCGGATTAACGACTTTTGACTGTATTAATAAATTCTTCCTTTAACATAAAATTAATTTTATTACTTGCCCTGTTTTATTTCAATTAAAATTTAATGTGCAATCATTACTTGATGCCGTCTTTGGAATAGATGCTAATGAAAACATTTCTAAGTGCTATGTAAACTACTCGTGACATTCGACCTCTTACTCGTAAGAAGTGTGTGAAAACTGGTAATGGCAGTGTAAAAGTTCTCATACTTTCATCTAGTCTCATATAAGGTAATGCTGTTATTATCCAGTAACGCAATTTAGTAATAACACCTGCAGTTTCTTTATTTTTACGGGCCATTATTTAAATGGCACCAAGACTATTGCCAACTTTTATTTAAGAAAAAGTTAGAACTTACGTAGCTAACATGTTTGCTTCAAGCATATAGTTTGTGGTTGCCATATTTTTGCGATTGCTTTTAATATAGCATCAGAAGCATTTTCTTGCTTGAGGATATCTGCCATGTTGCCCTTAAAATTATAGCTTTTTGCTTTATTATAACCTATTGTATGTCTTGTTAATGGACTGCGACTATGTAACAACGATGTTCAGAGCTCCTTTTGTGTTGGGTGGTCTCTTTAAGTTATTACGTTTAAGACTACTAGCCATTTAGCTAAGATTTATAGCATATGATATGATAGATCCATTTAAGTAATGGCTGATAATAATAAGGAAGTACCTAATACCCTCAAGTGAGAAAATTAAGAACCCTGTTGTTTCAAAATATTCTAAAGTTGAGAGACATCAAATAGCTCGACATCAAATAGCTTTTAAAAATGTAAATTTTAATCTATACGTTATTTACATATCATTAATTACAGCATTTGGTGGTTCAGTATAAAATTGATTAATCATGATCTATATACTTTCACAATTGAAAATCGAAATCTTTTAAATAGTAACAGAAGTGTTCCTAATCAACTAGTGTGTGAGACATCTATCTACTGAGCTGCCAGTGGAGAGTATGGAAAATCAAAAGGCATGTCATGTTTAAGGCTGCGTTCAGACAGCGGCATAAAGGGCATAGAGGCGTAGTCATAAGGTCATAAAATAATGGGAGTTCCGTTCACACCTGCAAGACGGGGGTCTAAGCTGTGGGCAAGGAGAGAGGCTAAATTTGCACATGCGTGGATGTGTCTACACCTTTTGCATGCTCCTTCCCCGCTCGATTGATTTCCCGCGTTCGCTCTGCTTGTTTTCATTATTTTGTGTCGTGGCTTATTCAGCTCATCACAAAGTTTAACTGGCTCAACAGAATGCTCTTTTATCTGCCCTTTTTATTAGCCAAGAGGCAACGGAAGAAGGTAAAAAAAGAACGAAATGATCTGGAAATATTTTTTTGGAAAGAGCAATAGTTGGTTGGCACAAATTTATTTCTGTGCAAAGCAGTATGGAATATTTTTGCATTGCACTGTAGTACTCTCTATACTATAAACATGCACGTGCATATTTACATATATAAAACCTTCTTCAATTTTTATATGTAATTTCTCTTAGGAGAAATACGATATTCCAAATATGCCTAATTAAAAAAAAATCTTGAGGATGAGTGACAAATAGCCTGTATATAATGTTTTTCCAATTTGCAGGTATGAAAGCAGTTACGTGGAAAACAGTACTTACCATACATTATTTATTTTTTTAAAATTTTCATTCAAAAGGAACATGTTTCTGTGCTTAGCACTTCTTATTCACTGCCACTGTCGATCACTACAGTAGTTGGCTGCAATACCAGTATCAATTATTACTAGTATCCCACAAATGGTCACCATAACCAGCACCCACAACTAAACTTGTACAATACTATGAAACATTCACCCAACAATGTATTTTATACTCAATCATTAAATACATTTTGCTGTGTTGCCAGCTGTTTGTATGCATCTATTTCTAATCATTTGCATGTATAAGCCGCAGCCCTGAATTTCATATGCTTTTCCTGAAAAAAAAGGGGGGAGGGGTTACACCCCAGAAAATACAAACAAACAATGTACAAAGTAAACACTAACTTTCAGGAATTTTTGTGGATAATTCTGCAAACTGGTATGTTTATATCACACGAGTAATTCAAATTAAACTCTGCTCTGCTTTGAGATATCATAGATGTAAGTTTCATTCATGTCACTTGTCAGAAGTAATTACTTTTAATGATTTTTCATTTGCTGACAGATTATGACAATTCTTCACTCATTGGCAGGCATGCATTATTAAAGCACCAAAAAGAGTTGAATTTCAACATATGCTGTCATTTCTATTTACGACTAATATCTCAAAAGTAATTTCACATTGACAAATTTTAGGTACCCAAGTCTTCAAATACAACAAAATTATAAACATTCATACCTTATCCAGGAATTTCTACCTTAGAAATAGCATGAATTTAATTATCAAAATTCCATTCAAATGATATTAATAAGGAGTGGATAATAATAACAAATATTGTTCATTAAATTATTATCCATGTTATGAATTATGTGTGCTATTCAGTTTCATTAAAGGTGCTATTCCTTTCATGGAAAACACAATTAAAAAATAGAGATTAACAGGAGACAAAACTGTCTAGACTGTTGACTGTTGTTTTAAAGATATTTCACTACACTTTTTCCTTCCTGGACTTCATATGAGCATTTTCTCGAAAGATTATTTTTTTATTACTTATACAAAGCTTACACCATTCAATTGACTATTGTGACTATTCTTAAATAAGTGAAAATAATTTTTTCTTATTTTTAAAAGTAATATTTTTTACTGTCAAAAAAAAAATAAATTCCTGATATTGATTTGATGTTTTAGTAAAATTAATTTCATGAAGTTTGTTTGGAAAGAAAATCAGCATTTAAAGCAACTAGCAATACAATATTTCCAGCTTTTTCAATAAATTTATTCTTAAATATAAAAACAATTAACAGGAAGAAAATGATAGTAATAATTTATACAAAAATAATAAACAGAAAGAAAATAATAATTTACACAGAAAAAATAAAATTTTTGCAAGCATGCATTTTTTAAAGAAATTTCATAATAAAATGAAAAATAACCGATGGGATCAATTCTCTACAGGATCATACACAGCGTGCATGATACTGAGCTTAATTTTGGCTTTATGAGTTTCATCCATATTTTTCAATTTATTGTGCAAATTCGTTAAAAAATGCATGTCATCATCGTAGATTTCTTGCGAGATCAACTCATTATTTCGTTTGGATACGATTACAACTCATTCGGATATGATGTGATTCATATTAAAAAAAAAAGTCCCCTCCAATGTGACAGCGAAATCATCTGCAGAAAGCCGCTTCATTTTAGCTTCGCTCTGATTGGTCAGAGCTTATCTCAAACTCAACGTAAAGTTGAAAACTTAGAACCTTACACAACGAGTCCTAAACCAGATTTTGTGATGTAGCACAGACTGGTTGCTTTGGCAATGGAGCTTAACCACTTATGCCCCCCCCCCCCCCCCGTCTGAACGCAGCCTAATACGTCACACCAGTAGTATGAAATTTCAAACTGAAAATTTCGTTCTTCTACCTCTTGCCTTTGTTTTGTGAACAACTGATCTGCTCCATCCTCTTTTATCTGCATTTAAAGATCTGAAGCAAATGCCTTAAAATTTGAAATAATATGCTTTTATTCCATCTCACATGGCCATTAATAAAGTTTGTGTTAATCCATTGTGTTTGTACTGTGTCAGATATGTAGTGGTTGCATTTTCATTTTTACATCACGTTTATGTTTTGTACAAGAAAGGTTGTTAACTGCTTATTTATGGAGAAAAAATGTGATCATGCCAATCTTCATCATCTGTATTATTACTACATGCATGTGTAAATATATATGTGTGTGTATTTACATGAATATGTACATTGCAGGGAATAATATATAAGGTTGAATCACATTATTATGATTCATATCTAATGCAGACATTGTACATGCTGCAAAAGTATACAGTGTACATATTAAAGCTTTAAAATGCGAAAATATGAGGTGGGATCAACCACTGTTATGTAATCCTTAAAAATTTGCATATTAGGTAATCAAAGGTAATGTCAAAGTTGTTTGAGAATAATGTTTATTTTAACTGTTTCTGATTATAGCAATTTCTTTTACTATAAATCCTTATACCTTTGTTTTAAATATTCAACTATATATATCAGAACTATTTTAATAACAAGATTAATTTGTTTATAATGGCTATGAGAGCTTTTATTCTTTTGCCCTTCCTTTTTATGTATTAATGAGCAAAGTCTGTGAGTACACCTGATTGAAAAAAATTAGCCCCTGTTAACAGAAAAAAATATCTCCTTATTTATTATCATTTCTTTCCGAAATGTTATAAGCATTTATTTTTAGTATATTATATATATTATAAACATGAGCATTCTGATTTGGCATACCAAAATGTTGTAAGTTGATAGACCTGATTTACCAGAGAGTGTTATAAGCAGATATTTCCAGAACACTTTATACATACAAATTTAATTAATACATACAAATAATTTAATTTTCTAATCAAAGGTATAAATTTATCCATTAATTTTAATATTTTCAAATGGCTGCACATTTATTTTTATAAAAAAGGTATTGTAAAAGGACTTTAAAATACTGTAATTTGAATTCCTTTATCATGAACCTGATTTGTGTGTCAAAATAGAAATTTCCATTTGCTTATAAAAAATTATTTTAAATGTTCTATTGTAATTAAGACTGAATGCTGTATAATGGTCAGCATAGTATATGGTAGATTGTTGAATGTCAATCTGTTCTGTCTTGTATTTTGAATTAGTTAAGCAGTTTCTGATTATTTTTCTGGGAGGCTAAGATTTATATAGTATAATAATTCTTTTTAAATGTGGTTTGCTAATTTTTTAATGTTTATTTTTATTGTAATTTTTCTGTAGGTTATAATAGAGAGATATTATGGAGAAAAATTGCTACCATTATTAGATAGAAGTAAATTTCTGGTTCCTGATCATATCACTGTTGGAGAGCTTATAAGAATTATAAGGTAAGCATTATATTACTATAAAATATGCTTATTTTACCTAAAGCTTAGGTTAATAATCTCATCACTGAAATGTCGACACTCTCCAGATCTCAGAAAATCAGTCCGTAACATTTTGAAGCTAAATGAAAAATCAGTATGAAATGTATTTGTGTAAATTGTTGTTAACTCTAACAAGTTGCATTTTCATTACTGTTATATGCTATTAATGGTGCATTGTTTGTGATAAAAAATATAAATATGTATTTTTAAGAGAGTGTGCATGTTTTTGTATGTGTGCTAGTTACTTTAGTAATACTATTAAATTATGGTTCGAATATAGAGATCTGAGAGGTAAAAATTCCTTTTTCATCCTATATATTCTGTTAATAAAATGAATGTGCATTTAAAGTCTTTTATTTATCACATTCAAAATGGAAAAATTCTGGAATGCTGTTTCATGTTTTTAATTTGTTTGTTTGCAGCAGTTAAAGTGAGTACATTTTTTAAGTCTTATAAGCTGTTTGTTTATATTGTAGGAGGAGATTGCAACTGCATCCAAATCAAGCCTTTTTTCTTCTCGTAAACCAGCGTAGTATGGCTTCTGTTTCAATGACAATGGGTGACCTGTATGCGAGAGAAAAAGATGAGGATGGCTTTCTGTACACAGTTTTTGCATCACAAGAAGGTTTTGGATTACAAACTATGTGTAATTGAAAAATTATATAAAATATTTATACTGCTGTACAGTTGTAAACAATGAAATCTGACAGTTTTCTGTTTTTCATCATATAATGATTTGGCTTTGTTGACTTAGACTGAGTTTAGTCGTAAAATGTAATATCTGAAACATGTGATGTACTTGTCCACATATAGCACACACACACAAATATATATATATATTATATATGAATGATTTATCCTCTTTTGCAAAAGCATTAGGTATAGTACCTTAATTTCTTAATCCCTGTAAGTGTTTATTAATGGACCCAGGGACTGAAAGAATAGTGGGAAAAATGATTTGTGCAAATATTTTATTATACAGTTAGTTCATTTTCAGCTTCTATTGTAAAGAATAGTATGAGCAGTTATAAGCTGATTAACTAGCAGTATATTATTTTTTTGCATATGAATTAACTATTTTTAAAAATTTAGAGGAATAAATTTAACAAGTGTAAAGGCAAATATATAGCTAGTTTTTTATGCTTTATAAAAGTAATTTTTATGAACTGTATTTTCTGTCTTAAGTGTATTAGATTTATAATATAGTTTTAGAATACTAATAGAAATGCAAAGAACTCAGAATGCATCCAGCTTCATTGTTAAATGGATATAAATATATTGATTTTCCTAAGAGAGCAGTTAACACATTTTGTATAAACTTTTATTATATGCACAATATTCAGCAAGTGTGTTTGTCCCCCAAGGATTAAAATGAATTATAAAAATATCCCTTTATTGTAATCAAGTGAAAATATAATTTCTGTTTTTAAAAATCATGTCTTAGTTTCTGGTTAAATTTTAGTATGTATTATGTATTTAACATTTTGTACTTTTTTACTGTGATATTTCTGAACTATTATTTATATTGTAAATAGAAGTTCACGAAAGTATAGTAGTATATCAACATTGGAAATAAAATATCGTATCTGAAAAGAATAATGCTATTTTTTAAAATTCTGTTAAAGCTTAAGAATAAGAGTTGCATAATTAAGTGAATTAATTAACAGTATGATTTTATGCATAACAAGTATTTTAATGAAAATACTTTATTTTAATCTATTATCAATTTTAGCTTATAGCAACTGATGTTTTAGTATTTTATATACTTTCTCCTTGTGCAATTTGCAAGAGCGAAAATTTGACTTATAATTTAATCAGTGTGTCTGAAAGATTTGCATGCGAGTCTAGTAATGTAAGTGAAATAAATCAAATGCATTTTTACTTTTTTAATTCTTTAAATAATTTTTATTTCATTATACTTCTGCATTTTCTGCTTTAGATATTGCCATGAGCACAAATTAATGTAGTACTTGCTTGTATGTACATAAAAAATCTCATTGAAAATTTATTTAGTATAAGCATACAGTTTAAAATAAAATGCATCAAGTCACATGTATTTTTACATGATATATCTCAACTAAAATAAACATGTATTTTGTGCTGAAATACTTTTTCATTCCATGTGTATATTATATTACAAGGCTTAGAATATATTCATTTCTGAGGTAAGTAACACATATAATTTAAATTTTTTTTTTTAAGAATTACAATGCTTCACGAGTTTATGATTATATGGAAATTTTTTTAAAACATAACATTATCAGTGGGTTTTACATAAAGTGTTAGTTTTTGTCAAAACAATAGTTTTCTTATATTCCTAAATACATTTCTCTAAATACAAAATGGAATTATTTATTCAAATAATGAAATATGAAAAAAAAATGTTTAAATAAAGGATATATGAATATTTCAGATGGCAAAAATTATTGGTCTTTTACACAAAATTTTTATAGCCTGTCTCAAATGCGATTTCTACTTGGGTTTAAGCTTTGTTAAAAAATAACTGACATTTAGGATACAACAAGAACTTCAATCAAAGCTTATCCTCAAGAAAAGCAATGTTACCATTTTGTGAGTTTGTTCTGAAGCATAATATCACATTACACTTTAATAAAATACATGAAAATATTTTTTCTATTTTTGTATGAAAATTCTATATTACTTAAATATGCATGAATCAAGTGTATTTATTCATTAGCTTCAGGATAATGCATTCAGTCTATAAAAATTAAGCAAAATTATTCTTATGAGGCATACAATAGCACATGTCTGAATATTCAATATATTGCTCACATACAGAAAAAGTCACAAGTCAAGATATTCTGAGTGATGCAGAAATGTGCTATGTAAAGTAATGTATGTAATGCAGAAAATGTTTTAGTTGCAAGAGAACATACATAGTATGCATTTATTAAATTTTAATCTAGTAATAATATTAATTTCTTGTTAATAATTTTGTTTAAATGGTGGAAAAACATTTAATAGAAAAAGCTTTACAGATGGAAAACATATATATGTATATAAATTAACTTGTCACCTTTTTTATGCATGAACAGTGTTTTCATACAGATACAGATTTTACATATTATACAGATGCATAGACAAATCTACTTCAGAAATAATACAAAAATTTAATCTTTCATTTGACCATTAATTTTTGAAACCCAACCCATATGAATTTGCTTTGAATGGTCCCATATGTCCAGCCATCAGGATGAAATACAAAAATTTTCATATTAACAGTTTTGTTTAAGTATGTAAATTTAAATTTTAGATATCATTTTGATATTAGAATTTCTTAAAATCTTCAATTCCTAAAATCTAGAACAGTTATAAAAGAAAATTCTGTATATGATTTGATGAGAATATACACAATGAAATCCAAATGATACAACAACAGTAATAAAAAGAAATGAATTTTCTGCAGTTTGATAAAATGAAGCAATTTGTATACATAAACCTACATTTATTTAACTCACACAAGGCAGTCATCAAGAGACCCTAGATCTTTGTGACTGAAAGACACTGGTATTCATATTCACATTGGAAAATTGAGAATTGGTTTCATATCACACATACAGTTCTCGGAGAATTTTTCATTTATTGCATTTTTATATTGATTATATAAGCATATTTTCAGCAAAACATAATTCTAAGATAAATACAAACAATGAATGAATATCATACCACCAGTGGAGAAAGTTTTTTTTAGAGTAATTTCTTAGAAAGCAGAGTACTTAAAACTTACAATTCATAAAAATGTAGTAGCAAGAAAAGGGTAATTTAAAGTAAGTGAAAAGGCTAGCAGACATGAAATGAATGATTATTTTTTTAAATAAATATACATGATAATCAGAATATACATTTTTTATGTCGTTTGTAATGCCCAAAGGTTTGACTAGAATACCTTAATGCTAAGGATTTATTAAGAAATACCAGAAAGTTTTATTTATCAGAAAAGAAGGGTGAATTTAAGGTATTAAAAAAGTACTTTTTTTTTTACAAAAGATTTGTAACAGAATTCTCATGGAAGGCAAATTTTCTGCATTATGATTGGATTACTTTTAATTTAAAGTTTAAAAAATAATTTTTATTAAATCGTGTTTTTATAGAACTTCAATGAAATATTTGAAATTGTTCTAAGTAAATTTAATATTTTAGATAGTCGTACACATATATGCATAGTGTTTAACTCATTTACTTCTGCAAGTGGAATAGTTTGCATGGTGCTTCACAGCTATCACCAAGCATGCATAAATCTATGTTTAACAATGTCCACCTGTCATCAATGTAAATTGAAACACTTATGTCAGTTATTTATGAAACATTATGTGAGTAGTACAAAAACAGTAAAGAAAAAATAAGGAGTATTCAGTTTGTTTGGAAGTTTTCATTTTTGACTGTTATTAATGATAGTTATTTCTAATACAAGTTTGTAGTTTTCATTATTACATTATTCAAGCTGTCAGTTGAATGACTCCAATTAGTGAAGTTAGTAGCATACTTACAGGAAAGATACAGATAAGACATTGCACAGCAAAATATTTCTTGAATGGTTGGTTGTAAACCCAATGCTTTTAGATTATAGATTTAGTTGTGATACTATTTAGTAAAATTAGTTATATTTTTATGCGGGTTTCCTGTTAAGAAAGTATCAATGTGTAAGTTGTTGCTCATTTTAGGAAGATAGGTATTATTTTATGAACTTTGCTTTAAAAACAGTTGCTAAAATTAAGAGTTAAATCAGTTTTGTGTATAATAAGCACTTTATGCTAGTGTCTTTATGAAATTAAATTATAGCTAACACCTTTTTTAAGCATTTTCTAAAAGCATTGGTTTTTTAAGTTTTAGCATTTCTACAGATGGGACTGTAAAATATTCACCTTTGTATTTCTATATATTTGTTTTCCTGTAATAAAAGGTATTTTTTTAGAAATCTGCTTTTAAAAAATTATATATAAAGGCCATTAGTAGTATTTTATACAGGCCTAAAAATTTTGTAGCTCAGGTAATTTTACTCATATAATGGTGTCTTTTATGAAGGGGGGACTAAATAGGCTTTGAACAAAGTTTTATTACTGATAGTTTTCTTCTGACACTCATATCAAAATTTCTTTATAATTTTACTACAAACCGTCACGGGCTGGAGGCTTATTTTATTTAAACCATTTCTTAAACTGGCTTTATAGCTGTGATCAATGATTTAGGAAAGATTTAGCTGTGTATTTGCATGTTAGCTTTATGACATTTCATTAAAAATGACTTGTATGCACAGTTTACTATGTAAGCAACTGCAGCTTACATTTTATTATCAAAATTTTGCTGAAAATTAGGTGTGATGAAATTATAAATACTAATTGGATTTTTGTCACTACATGCAGTCTCGAGATTGTTCAAGATTTAATTTTCTCTTCTGTTTAGCAACAGTCTGATTTGAAAGCAGAAATGTTGCATTGTACGGAAAAAATACTAAACCAATGAAATGATACAATAACACAAAAATAAAAGGATGTTTACATGCAAAATATTTAATGAAGATTGCATAGTTATCTCTTGACTGATTCAACAGGGCTGAGGTCTTTAAGAAAAATGGGGTCAGATAAGATGGACCTTTTGTACTGGAACACGTTTTTTTTTTTTAAGTTTATGAAATTAAAATTTTAACACAAATATTGCAGGGGAGAATGAAATGCCTTCTTTTAGCCGAATTAAAATTCATTAGTGTGTGATAAAAATACCCAAATATATCATTAAAAGTTTTGCTTAAGATTAGCTATCCATATTTAGGTTTAAATTTCCCATTTGTGGAAAATGCTAATAATTGTAATTTTTTATTTGAGATAACAGTTTTAACCAGTTCAAAAATCTTATTTTTTTGCCAATGCATTCATTTACTAAAATTAGGCCCAATTCAGAATTTTCTCAAGACAAATTGCCTGAAAGATCATTAAGAACACAACATTTCTAAAGTTTTTTTTGCGAAGGCCCGAATAAAAAGACAACTGATTTTTTTCATCCATTAAATGATATCACATGATCAAAATTGCCTTAATTTGGAAGATCTGCTTTTACGGAAATTGAAATGGTGAGTATAGAACCAACTGCTAATTTTTTTTTTTATTGTGCAGCCTTAGTAAAACAGTGTATGTATGTGCATATATATATATATATATGCATGTATACTTACTAAAGTTTTTCTAATAATTCATAGCTTTAATAAAATTTATTTTCCTTGGAGATAATGTAGCTTTTCTAATATATGCATGAATATACAGTGTTCAAAAACTTTTATGAGCAAAATTTACTGATTTATTCTGATAAATATTTTGTACAATGGGATAAATTGCTAAAATGATAATTTTGCAGCTACTTCATGAATTTATTTTCCAGTTTATGGAGCAATAACAATTTGCTTTAAATTCATGAGTAGCTAGTATGGAAATATTCTTCAAATTCAGAAAAGTTAATTTCAACCTTAAATTTCTGAATTTTTCACATAGTGGACTTTTTTCGTTTAAAAAGGCATAATGAATATTTTACTAATTGGAAATTTTGTTAAATTGTGGCAGTTACATAAAAAGTTAGATTATATATTTTATAAACCATTTCGCTACCTTATTTAATATCCAGAGATATATGATATGAGTATAATGGTTTAATTGTTCACTATTAATATTGAAAGTACCAATCAGTAACTGAATGGTTAAAATGACAGCAGTATTAGTATTACTGAACTTTGAATTCACGCTGAAATAGGCTGGCTGCATGGATATATTAGCCTTTTCCCCAATGTATCAAGGTGAGGCAGTTTACCATAGGAAAGCTATCCATGCATGCTTTGGCACACTTAAATATATAACCTTAAGTTGACCAACTTGTCAAATATCAGACTTTAAATGCAATGAAGATAGAGTTATATTCAGTGTTAGTAGTATTTTTAGTATTAAAAAGATGTAAAAAATTAAAAACCTATGAGTATACATTATTACTTTAAATTATGTTTTATTTATTTATTTATTTTACTGCTAAGGTAGAACTAGGTAAGTGAATTGCTGGTTAAAATCCTCCCCAGTTAAAGGATGCAAAACTGCAATATCTTCATTTGTTTGTAATTTCTGATGTGGAAAGATTTTTTTAGAATATAATTAAAAATGAATAGTTAAAAAAAGAAAAACTAATTTATAATGTAATTAAGAACTAATCCAACTGTATACATTTTACAGTTTAGTATGATCAAAATTCTTTTTGAATAAGAAAAATAAGCTTAAAGTTGAAATTAGAATAACAATATGCAAATTCTTCTTTTTCCTTTGAATAACCCTGGTAAAAAATAGTATGTAATGGGTTACAATAAAACTGATTTAATTTTACTTTTTAAGATTTTTGAAATGTAAAATTATGAGGGACTGGTTGAAAGAATGCGGTATACAAAAATGATGCTGAAAATGTAGCATTTAAATGAAACAAATTCATAAAAATGTATTTTTTCTTGTATGGAGCAAATCATATATATGGGAATATGTATAATTAAGTTACTCCTACTTAAAAGAATGATGAAATATACAGGTAATGTAGTGTTAACAGGTTTTTAAATATAACATTGATTTTAAATTCATTCTCCAGTATTTATAGCATTTGAGAAAAGTTATATATATATGAGAACCTCCACATATTATTCCTGCAATGAGCATTTTCCCACATGTATTGTTTGCTGTTTTTGGTCCCGAATGAAGTTCTGTATAAATATTATTATTTTATTTCAGTATTCTTTGTTTTTATGTTATGTTCCATATACAGCATTCCTGCATGGATTGTTTAGAGAAAAAAGCTGAGGCAAAGTATGTGTTTATTATTTGTGTTACCTGATCTGTAGGTTACCAATGTAGCCATACAGTAATATCATAAAGCCTCACATATAACCTTCAGTTTAGCATCTGCATTATTATCATCATTTTTGAATGCTATTTTGTTTTAAACTTCAATAAGTTTATTCTTATTAATGTTTTAGTTTAAATCTGAAAGCAGTATGGAGGAAAATGATGAAAGTAAATAAGAAATGGTACCAAGCTGCACCAAAACTTGCAAAACTTTTAAAGTTATAGCATTTTTTTGTATGTGCTAATGCTGGAACCAATATGAATATGAAAATATTAAAGCATTCAAGTCTAAAAAATTTGCACTTTCAATGTCAACCCCCCCCCCAGATAAAGGAGAATGTACTACTTTTTTTTAATTACAAAGTAGTTTATTAATATAGTAATATTGAAGTTGAAAGTAATAAATTTATTTATTTCAAATATATTACTTATTTACAACGCGTTGCAGTTTCTTGGATTAATTCTCCCCCCCCATCATAATTGTTTTCCTCCATTTCAATGAAAACAATAGATCGAAATTCCATTGCATATCGAATTTGACTTAACAGACTGAGAAACTGAGATAATTTCTAGTTAATGTATATAAAGTACAAAACTAGTGTAAATGAAGTGAAATACATAAAAATTTTCTATATAAATTAATTTATATGTAGTGTTTCTTTTATATCTGTGATCATCAATCAGTGATCTTTAGTTGGGCATACCGAATGTGAATGATGGATGTAAAATAAAATATTGAGCATGTTGTGATTGTTTACCTAGGCTAGACCTGATGTTGGAAGAGTCATAGGTTCTGAATTAAACTTTTTGTTGCATAGCTTCATGGAATATTTGTTAATTTAAAGCTAGTATTTTTGGTTTGGGAAATAAGAAAACAAGTATTGAGATTAAATATTGAATTAGTTTTCACGAATGAAAAGTAAAGTTCTTACCAATTAAGAAAACCTAATGCTAATTTTGAAAAATGCATTCCCCTCCCTGAAAATATGTATCACAAATATTACAAAAATAAAGATAAGAAAGTAGTAAAAAACATTTAATTGTAATCCAACTAATATCTTTCTATTGCATAGAAACTAAGTTTAGATTAAGGAAAGCTATGCAAACATGTCTCAGAACAGGCTTGAGTTCCAAGTTAATAGTACCTTTACTAACCTTTATGTTTTTCAACTTAAACTTACACAGAAAAACCGGTTTGAGAAGGGAAAACACACAGTTCTTAAAACTTTATTATTTTATGAAATTTTTCTTCATTAGTTAGACCTTTTTCTCTGTCCCTATACACTAACTCAGTTTTTAATGTATTAAAGTTATTAGTTGGAATACAACTGACAATTTAATATCAAATTATATATAAGCATGTATAAAATCTACACTTATCAAACATTACTGTGTTGGTCTTTTTATCTTCGATGAATTGAGAACTTTTAGAGACTGGAATTCAATTCCACACTAAACAAGTCTTTCTAAATTAAAAAATATATTGTTGCATAAGGAATGTATAATTATAGTCATGTACAAAAACATGTTAGTGCATCCGTTAACTTTACTCTTTAAATAATTATTCAAATTTATTGATATAGCCATAGCTTTTGAACTATTTCAAAAGCACCTAAGCAAAGTGCACCTTATAGGATTGGGCCCATCCTGAAGTAAGAACACTATCTAACACTCATGAATGAGGAATACGTATCATTACAAAAGAACATTGCTTCAGTTATTCCAGTTTGTTTATGATTAATGTTTGGATCCTTGGGAAGGGATTGCTTTCTCTGCTTTAAAACATTTAAACATTTTCTTCTAGTATATATGAACTACGTTTGCTCCTCAAGTTAGGAGAACTGCTGTTCTAATTGCAGCATAACACAGTTGCCTGCTTCATACAGTATATTAAGCAAACACAAGCTCCTGATCAATCTTTCTTCTTTTGTGTATGAACTTGTCCTGTTTTAAAAAATAATTTTTACATTGAAAACAATCTTTACAAAAAATACTGGGAACAACAAAAACCCTTTAACTCATTCTAAGGAAGAATTTGCTAATAAGAATGAGAGTGGTAGAATGATAGGTGCAAAAACTGATATCTTGCTGCTTACTGAAGGCACTAGCACAACACATGGGGTCACAATCAAGGAGAAGCTGTATAAAAACTTCCTTGTGGCACATGCATCTGTGAACACAAACTACAGAATTCTGCCGTAATGATTTGGTAACTGCAGTATATGTTGCCAAAGGTTATAATTTGCACATCTTTACTTTGGGCAGTTTTGGCTACATGTGTGGACCTACTATCCATAGGAAGTTATCCTACATATATCATCTGTACATGTGTTGACTCTAGTACAAGAATAGTTAGTTTCCTTTGTACTTTAGAGGCAAGGCTGTATGTTGATCCCAGTAGTTGCATGTGTGATGAGGCGGATTTGGTAGTCCGTTGATAAAGTCACATTTGCAAGGCATCCTACTAAACCTGAGTGATATTTGTTCATACTTAAGCTTACTATGTTTTCCATACCGCCTAAGGGAGAAAAAATACATTAAAGATATTTCATTGTACAATCATTGGCAACAGTTCTGGCACAACAAAATTTAAGGATGTAATGTACAAAGTCAAAATATGCACGGGTAAAGTCTAAAAGTCACTGACAAATTTAACAAATATATACAAAGTGACAATGTGGCAACATTTGACTAAGAAGCTGTGGTTTTTAGTAAGGAGAAGCCTTATTGGCTACTTACCAGAAACCTTTAAATTTAATGATCACAGATAATTAAATTTAAAGGCTAATGATCAGTGAGAAGTGAGAATAATTACGTTACGCAAAGAGGCTTGAATACCTTTAAAGTGTAAGCTGACTGACTTACATGAGCATAAAAATTATAGACATGTAAAATGTATATATATATATATATATATTGTAGATTAGTTCAAAAATTAAATCTTTTATATGTTTGCACATTTTTTAATTATTTTAACTTTAAATTTGCTTTTTACGTATATACATGATACTATATATATATTGTTTCCAGTTTGAAACCTCTTAATACAGTACAGTTAGCTTAACACATCAATGCCTTACATGGAGTTAACCAGCCCTAAATCACTTGGTATTGTTTAATCATGACATAGCACACAAGGGCAAGCGGCCTAAGAGAAAAATGCCTCTAAGGACGCCCTTTCAATAGAAATTGGCTCGTATTCACGTTACATATGGGTAACATCTCATTTAGCCATTTGTTCAGCTGCTGGAAACAAAACTCCGAAAAAACGACCGGCATTTTGGGACTTTCACTTGGTTCGAGTTCTTGAAAGTTGCAATGCTAAATTCTCTCTTACGTACTTTTATTTATAGTATTTATTTATTATTTTTTTTTAAAGTTTGTCAAGAAACTTTTAAACTCCTGTATATTATCCATAATTCATAAAAACGAAAAATAAATTTAATAGCTGGATTTAATGAAATAGAATACATATCATTCAGTTGTAATTACTGGTACACTTTTTAATTTTAACTGTACTCCTAGAATGGATAAATATAATTAAAGTTTTTACATAATTACCTAGATAAAGACCATTATTGACATTAAGTTGATTAAGCTGTCCTGGAGAAGCTCCTGTAACTGCTGTTCCTCCATCAACAACTAAAGATCCTTCTTGCTCCACTCTTGAAATTAAAATTTTGGGGAAAGAAAAATTTAGCAAATAAAATTTATGCATTCATTCCATTTTTTAAAAGAATATATTTAACAGATAGGATATAAATACCTTAATACTCTAACTGAATGCCATTTTCCATCATCTAATCTCGTGTTGTTATAAATAATAACTACTTCTCCAGAACCAAGATTGTACTGGAAATGCAAGTACCCGTCTTTAAGTCCTAAAGCAAGAAAATCAGCGGATGTCGTCATTTCTTTCTTTCCAGACCACAGTAACAATCCACTCGGTCCAAATGATCGAAATTTAAATTTTATATCTATTTTGTTGCCACGAATCCTGAAATAAAATGTGAAATAAATATTAAAATTAGACAGCTTTTGAACTGAATTACAATAAAAGATAATCAAATATAAATTTTAAAATCTCCATGATATTAAAAAGTTTTTGTTTACTTCAAAATGGAATTAATATTTTGCTTATTAATGCAATAAAATAAGATATTCACTTTTTAATGGGAACAATATTATTAATAACTGCAGTTTGAAGTGCAGCTTTGATGCATAAAGATCAGAAATGCAAATATTCAATAAAATGTGACAGATGAACACGAGGAGTTTAGCAAATGAGTCCTGGGAAAGCAGAACAGATTTGGGAGGCATTCCAAGCAAGTGACCTCGAAAAATGGAAGAAGTGCACAAATCCATAATGCATACACTCATGCCCAAAATTTGAGCAAAATTTGTAAAAAAGAAAGTGTTGATTCAAACTCATTGAAAAAGGGCTCAGATCATAGACTACTAGTTTGGAGAAATATAACGAAAAATGATCGATAAATAATGAGGAGTAGTACAGCAAAATACAAGATTTTGGTGGCAAAAAATTTCTTTGGTAGAGGTTTGTCAATGCAGAATATGACGACAGAAAGACTTGCCCAGTAGCATCAGTTTTATGTCAAAAATAAGATGATCAGTTACGGCCTATACTTATTCATGCAGCAGACATATTCTTAGCTTCAGAAGGCATCATGGAGAGAAATTAAACATCCGGATGGGATGCTCAGTGGAAATCAAATTAGGTGATTTTGGTGGCTGTTCCATATGAAGCAGTGTTTCCGATTCTATATACTGGCCGACAATGCCATCATCTGGAGTCACTCGGATGATCTGGTGTACTTAAGCCCAAAGGGTGTTAGCACAGAAGGGCTATTAATTTCGTTTTGGCATTTTGCGTCGAAAACTTTAAAAGTCTGAATCACTTTTCAGATTGTTGCCACCAAATATTATCACTCTGTATTATATTTAAAGAAATTAAGTAATGAAGAATCTGCATAAATGGATGTAAGTTTCTCGCACTGTGATAAAACAACGGTACCTAGAGCCATCAAATTTCAATAACGTAATCCTCCACCGAATATGAGCATTCGAAAGCTCAAATTTTTAATTTGTTTTATTTTGCATTTATCGGTTTCATATTTTGTAAAGCACTTATGAGTTTTTGATTAAGAAACTCAATGATTTCAAAGCGAGCAATGGCAAAACTGCACGAAAAAAAAAACATTTTTATCACCAGCGCGCGAGACTGTGTATCGGAAATTCTAAAGATATGCTAATTTTAAAATTATTTTGCGGTATTGCTTTTGAATTTAATTTTATGGTTTAAGTGCGAAGAACATGGTATTTAATAAATTAAGGTAAACACAAAACGTTAAAAAAAGCCCCTTTGGACGTAATATAAAATCTGAAATCTTTCAGACTTCCCCCCCCCCAAATTTAGCTATTTCAGTTTTTCTTCTTAAGTCCAGAACGCAGAGATAACGCTTTTCACAAAGCAAGCGGTTTTTTTTTATACTAACATGTTTTTTTATTAATAATTGTTGGTACGCAAAATCACCCCTCCCTGCGAGTTAGTCTTTGCATACGTAGACCAGTTATGCGCGCTAATTTTATGGCTGTATTTTGTAACTGGTGTTGTATTTTCCGTCGAATATGCGAATTTCCACATTTATTGCTTTTTATTTGTTCGTTAATTGCTGCAGTACAATAGTCTGTTAAACTGTATAATCAGTGAAAGATACAAATGTAAGCGAATGAACACCTTCAGCTCTTAAGAGCTATACGTAATAAAGTTATAAGGTATTTATTCCCTCCTTTCCGCATGGCTTTGTGGTGTAATTGGAAGCATACTCGACACGTATTCGAGTCCCGGCGAGGGCACTGCACATTTTTTCCCGTCTCCTGCTTCAAAATAACCTAATGACTCTACAAGTGGCGCCTGAGCTAAAAGATATTGGGAGATAATTCGCCACCACCAGGATTTGGTGACTGGGTGTCCTAATCCCCAGTCGTGCTTTAAAAGGGGGAGTATATAAGGTTTTTTCCTCCCTCCTTTCCGCATCCTTCATGTTGTAATTGGTAGCATACTCGAGGCGTATTCGAGTTCCGCCGAGGGTACTGCACATTTTTTACGTCTTTTAACATAAAAAAAAGCCATATGATTCAACGAGTGGTGCCCGAACTATACGATCGGGGACAATTATTCGTCACCACCGAGATTTGATGATTGGGTCGCCTAATCCCCAGTCGCCCTTTAAAACGGGAAGTATATAATGTGTTTTCGTGGTGTAAAAGGAAGCATACTCGACGCGTAGTTGAGAAGTCCAGAGTTCGAGTCCCAGCAAGGGTATTGCACATTTTTCACGTCTCCAGCATTTTTTTTAAAAAAAGAAACATCCCAATGATTCTACAAAGTATCATACTAAAAGTACGTTGTCGTGTTAACTTTGATGATCTGTTGCCATATTTGATGACGAAATCATTAAGCAACCGCAGCTCCTTTGAGAATTACTTTACCGGCCAGAATATAAGACCGTCTCAAATATAAGTCTCACCTAGAGTTCTGAGTTAGATTTACATAAAAGAGAAAATGAAGCTTGCGTATAAGGTATGCTATATTTATGAACCTGAAACGCTGAAGGTACTTTACAAGGAAATATATTGTCTAAGACCATATCCTTAAGATAATTAAATGGTTTAAATACCATGGAAGTATCTATATTTTCTTACAAGTGATAAATAATCTTTCTAGATGCTTTAGACGTTAGCTGAATATGGTTTTCAGAATGGAATTTTAAAGAAAAGATAAATCATGTTTACAGAGATATAGAGCTTTTTCTAACGGGCTGTCATCGTCCAAGTGACGACGCAGCATTGTTAAAAATTAATGGAAGAATTAATGGCACCAGGAAGGAATGATCTGACGACTGTCAAAATCACATGAAGGGAAGAAGAGGTTGGGATATGCAAATGATTAGTATTTCAGCCCATTTAGACGACCCAGGAGGGAGAAACGACATCTGAAGATCTGCATAAAAGAAAAGATGTGTAGTGGACTTCTCATTCGGAAAACACTTTGCAAGGTCGGAGTTTGCGACGAATATTGTGTTATGTCTCGAATAATAAGAAGAAATGCTTACTAGCAAGTGTCGGAATGCGATAGAAGCGGGATAGTTGCCTATCGAGAGTGTGGATTATCGTTCCGTGATATCGCTCGTTGCACTGATCAGCATCCAACCACCGTCATACGAATATGAAAACAATGAACTGCTGAGGGCCATATTGAACGGCATGCAGGATCTCAACACCCTCCTATGACTAACGCCCGAAAGGACAAACATATTGTGAGGTCAGCCCTGCAAAAGCGTACAACCACATCACGGACCATTAGTCAGGAAATAGGCGTGTTTACAGCACGCCTAGTATCTGCTGGTACGGTTGACCGACGTTTGCAGCCGCGTGGAGTATCAATTCGACGACCATTACTTCGGCTTCCCTTGATAATGCAGCATAGAGAGAGACGACAACTCTGGTACCCGGATAAAGCTGGATACAGGAGTGGAACAACGTCGTCTTTTCAGACGAGTCCCAATTCTTCGCGCAGTATTCTGATGGTTGTATATGCGCCTGGAGGCTCTGAGGAGACTGTACGTCGCGTACTTGCATGCGATATTGGCATAGGGCCCTGCATCTGGTGTAATGGTTTGGGCAACAAGTGGGTGCACGACAAGCACATCTCTAGTTCGGATCGAAGGTAATTTGAACGCAGTTCGGTACATTTCTGACACCTTACGTCCAGTGGTTGTGCCCTATCTTCAAGGACGCCAAACGCCATCTTTCAACAAGATAATGCATGACAACATGTACCCCTGTAAACTCCCAAGCTGCTTAAAAATTTTATCGTTTTGTCTTTTGATATCTTCAGTTAGAAATCGATTATAGGAAATTCTATCAATGGTTTCCTTTCTTCAGGAGATAATGGATTTCTAATTCAATTTTCTTTTTCTTAACCCTCGGGAAAATACATGCTAAAATTATTTATCAATAAAATTATTTAGTTATGATTATTAATGTCGGATGCTAATTCTTCTTTTATTTTCAAATTATATTTGTTTAGAAAACTTTCTAAAATTGGTCAAAAGCTTAAAATATTGTTACCCAATTCTTTGATTATTAGCTCGAGTTTTTATCATTGCATTTATTTTAACTCTAATGGTAAACAAATTAGCACCTTGTCCTTGTTATCCTAAATTGAATTGATTTTCTTTATCATTGCATTTATTTTAGCTCTAATGGTAAACAAATTAGCACTTTGTCCTTGTAATCCTAAATTTAATTCATTTAATTTTCAATCAGCTAAATATGCTAAACGCGCCAACCATATTTCACTAATTAAACAATTTTGCAATTCAAATTTTGAAATTTGAATTTCTGATCAAAGTTCAAAAAGACGATTTAAAACTTTATCTCTGGATAACCGCTTTACTTCGAAATACAAGAAAAGTGTTTCATATTTACTGCCCATCTCTTAGCATAAAATCGTGAATATTCTTGAATTTAAAGCTCGGCTTTTAATAAAATTAAAAATATTCACAATTTGATTCAAAACTATTTTCAGGTTTTCGGGGATTATTTTGGCCCATAAAGCTTTACTATGAATGGAGCAGTGAGTAAATTAAATTTCATGTGCGACTTCCATTATTTGAGAAGTAACACCGGAATGTTTTCCTGCTAAAGCCCGAACTCCGTCACTGCATACGGCAATGCACTATTCCAAGGAATATCATTCTCAGAGATAAAATTGTCAATTACTCTGAAAATTTCATTTGCATTTGCTCTATCATGAAGAGATTCACAAAATAAACACTCTTCGGCAATTCTTTTGTATGTAAACTAATATATAATTGAACAAAGTTCGTTATACCTGCACTTTTCATCCAATTGAAATGCGAAACACTTACTTTGTTTTAGTTTTTGAATAGAGTCACTTTTATGGAATCTGCC